GCACCTTACCTAAGTTGTTCGTAGGCCGGCAGCTGTGCGGTAGTCACTATGGTAGGCGCCGTAGGTGACACGGGGGTGGTGGACACCCTGGAGGCACGGCTGGAAAACGCGAGGAGGAAGCACGAGGCCAACGAGTATGGCGACCTGCCGTGGGCGGTCGTCGAGGCTGGCATCCGTTCCTTGTGGGCGACGGAGCACCCTTCTCGGCCTGCTTCTCCTCGACCGGTGAACACCGAGGGCGGCGTCGACGTGGGTGTCAACGCCGGAGGCGATCAAGTCGGCAGCAGTGCGGGAGGCACGTCGTCGAGGCAGCGTGGTGTGATTCACGCCGACGAAGTCGGCGGCGTTCAGACGCGAGGAATGCGGTCGTCGGCGGCTGCAGGGTCCTCGCACGGCGACGGCGGAGGTCGACGGAGCGGGTCTGTGCCGATGTCGGCGACCCAGGTGACAGCAGGCGGGATTGCACCGAGCTACGGCTACTTCAAGTTTACGCCGGACAGGATCCAGGTCACCCCCCTGCTGGTCGGTCGACCGGACATCCTCACCTGGAAGGAGGCAATCGAGCCTCAGCTGGAGATTGCAGGTCTGATCAACTTTGCTCGTGGTACCGTGGCGACGCCGAGCGACCCCGACTTGCGTGCGGAGTTTCGCGCCGTACAGCTGCTGACCTTCACGGTCATCTCGCGGTGCTGCTCGCCGGGCGTGCAAATCGCCCTGAAGTCGTGCAGGGAGCATGTCGACGCCGGCCACCGGGCGTGGCACTTCATCGAGTCGACCTACCAAGTCACCGACGACTTGTTCATCGCCCAGCTTGAAGGGCAGCTGACGCACCTGCGTATGGGCGACCAGGAGACTGCGACGGACTACTGCAACCGAGCTCGGCGGATTCTTGCCACCATCAGGATGGCCGGCGCCGAGTACTCGACGGCGTCGTACGTCACCCATGTTATGCAGGGACTCCCGAGCAGCTACAACCTGCTGAAGCGGCTGTCGATGGCGCCGAGCACGCGGGCGACGCTCAACAAGGACACGTTGACCTCGTACATCCTGCAGGACGAGGCGATGCAGGAGGCCGAGCGGTCACAAGAGCTCTTGGCGCAGGTGAACTACGTCGCCCCGGCGAAGCAAGGCGGTCGACCGGGGCAGCGTGGACAGTCTGGCGGCAGTGGTAGCGGTGGCTCGAAGTCGGCCAAGGAAGTCGACAAAAAGAAGTCGATCACGGACAACGGCCGAGGAGGAGGAAGTCGACGTCGGGAGTGCTGGCTGTGCGGCGACCCCGACCACCTCTCCTTCGAGTGCCCCGACCGCAGTGACTCGGACGACGACGACAAGGGAGGCCGCGGGAGGTCTGGCAGTCGTCGACCTCGTCGAGGAGGAAGTCAGCCGCGCAAGGAGAAGCAGTCGACCAAGTCGTCGACCTCGGCGAAGGACGCCGACTCCTCTGCTGGCGGCAAGGGGCAGGGCGACAAGTCGGCGTCGTGCTCTCTGGTTGGCGTCGTGGAGCCGACCGTCTTGTGGCGCCGGAGGCCGGCGAGGACTTCCAGGCGGTGGCGGCAGCTGTGCAGGCTAACCCGGCGGTGGTCCTGCTCGACAGCGGCTGCTCCCACCACCTGATGGGGACAAAGGACGCCTTCGTCGACCTGGGGCCGAGCGGCGATGTGAAGCACGTGCGTGGCTTCAATGGGGCGCTGCAAGACGTCCAGGGCCGGGGCACGATTGCGCTGCAAGGCGAGGCCGGGAAGCAGGTTCTCATCCCCGACGTGCTGTACGTCCCGGGTGTGCGGGCGAACCTGTTGTCGTCCGGCCAGCTGAAGGAGCATGGCGTGAAGTTTCGGGAGGACGGCGACGGGATGCTGCTCGTCTCGGCAGCAGGAGAGGTGCTTGGTCGGGCGACGTACTCCGGGCGAGTCCTCTGCACCGACCTGCGTCCCTGCTCAACGAGGTCGCCGTCGCCCACGCCGGAGGTTGTGGCCCTGCGGGCGATCGTCTCCAAGACGAAGTCGACGCCGGACAGGATGCACGCTCGGCTTGCGCACGTCGGCATGGACACCATCCGGAGCTCGGCGAAGAACGAGGTTGCCATTGGGCTGGACCTCAAGTCGGCGACGGGCGCCGACTCACCGTGTGTCTCGTGCGTCGGCGGGAAGCTGGCGCGGCACACCTTCCCCGACCAAGGCTCCGACGCCGCCGACTTGCTAGCCGTCGTCCACATCGACTTGTGCGGGCCATTCCGGGTGGCCGCCAAGGATGGCAGCCTCTACTTCTTGCTGCTGAAGGACCGTCAGTCCCGCTACGTGTGGGTGAGGCCGGTCGCCAAGAAGTCGGATGTGCTGCTGGAGTTCCAGAAGTGGCTGGTGCTGGTGGAGAGGCAGACGAAGAAGTCGGTGCTGATGTTGCGCTCGGACCGGGGCGGGGAGTTCCTCGGGAAGCAGTTCACCGACTTCGTGGATGGCAAGGGGATCGTCCACGACCTGACCTGCCCGTACACTCCGCAGCAGAACGGCATGGCGGAGCGGGAGATGCGGACGGTGGTGGAGTCGGTGCGGACGATGCTGCTGCACATGGGCGTGCAGCACCACTGGTGGCACCTCGCTCTGCGGCAGGCCGTCTGGATCCGCAACTGCCTGGAGCGGTCGGCGACGCCGGGGACGACGCCGTACCAGCTGCTCACCGGGACGAAGCCCGACCTGTCGCTGGCGCGAGTGTGGGGCTGCATGGCGCAATTCCTCGTCCCCGAGCAGCAGCGCGGTGGGAAGCTTAAGCCGAAGGCCAAGTGGGGCCTTCACCTCGGCGTGTCGGAGGCGAGCAAGGGCTGGGAGCTCCTCGACATTGCCGCCAACCGGGTGGTCACCACGTCGGACGTGGTGTTCTACGAGGACCTGTCACTGGAGGAGTGGAAGTCGGAGCATGGGCCGGTGTCAGGGCGGACGCTGATGGCCACGCCAACGGATACATCCACGACCACTTCCCCTCTGCTCGCCGAGGTCGGTGAGCTTGCTGCGGACGACGCCGAGGTCGTCCGCCCTTCCTCCCCCTCCTCTGCCACTCCCCTTGTTGACCTGCGTGGGCTGACTCCGCCGTCGGCCTCCGGCGATGAGGGGAGCAGTGGGACGTCGCCTGTGGCGCCGACCAAGGGCATTGCCGGTGGCCGACAGGCCGTGCAGCAAGTCGACATGGGAGAGCAGTCGACGGGGAACGGAGAAGGGCAGGTCGAGGAGGTGCAGCCGACTTGGGTGAAGCCGACAGGGGAGCAGGCAGCAGCGCGGTCGACCAAGGAGCAGTCGGCGACCTGGCAGTCGGCAGGGGAGCAGTCGGTCGGGACGCCGACCGAAGTGCAGCAGGACGACGAGGACGGCGGTGAAGAAAAAGGGGAGCAGTTGGGCGACGAGGAGCTGGTCGATCAGGAGGTGGTCGACCAGTCCACCGACCGTGACGTGGTGGTGGTCCCGCCTGAACCCCGGAAGTCAGGTCGACTTCGGAGGCCTCCCGACTTCTTCATCCCGGCCGCCTTCACCACGGTCTATGACGTGGTCGACGAGGACGACGACCTACTGTACGACGACGCCGACGAGGATGAAGAGTTTCCGGAGCTCGACCCCGACATGCTGGCCGACCCCGAGCACCGCTGGGACATCTCCACGATGACGGTGAAGGAGGCGTTGGCAAGCTGGAAGGGTCCGGCGGTGAAGGCCGCCATGGAGGAGGAGATCCGCAGTCTCATCGCCATGGGGACGTGGGAGCTGGTCGAACGCCCGCCGGGAGTGAACGTGATGAAGAACCGGTGGGTGCTGACGACGAAGTACCACATCGACGACACCGTCGAGCGCGAGAAGGCGAGGCTGGTCGTGAAGGGCTTCACGCAGGTGTACGGCGCCGACTACGACGAGACGTTCGTGCATCCATCTCCTCCCTTTATAGGCCCGTAACACACGCTCGTGCATCCATCTCCTCCCTTTCGTTCATTCTCTCTTCAGGCCAACGCGTCCACAATCCCATCCCTGTGCATGCAGGCAAACCACCTGGTAACGCGCAACATCACGGCCAACCTGCGAGCGGCCCACCTGCCGTGGGCACCCGACGCCATCGTGCTGCCCATGGTGCGCCTCGCCCTCTCCTGCACCGCCTCAGACCCCCTCTCCCGCCCCACTGTCACCGACCTGCTCCGCTCCATCAAGGCTCTCAAGCGCTCCCTCTCCGCCCTCCCGCGCCCTGCCCTGCCTGCCAACGCGGGGGCGAGCGGGGATGGTGAGCCGTCCCTTGGCGATGCTGGTAGTGGGGGAGCTGGAGTCAAGCAGGGTAGAGAGGATGGGGATGGACTTTCTGGGGGTTTCAGTCAGAAAGCGCTAGATGCAAAGTTTGACTGGCTTATGGAGGAAGAGGATAGTGGTAGGTTTCTGACAGATGTGTAGGGCGAAATATAGACCTGGTTAAATGAGTCAACAACCTTATAATGAGTGGCTAGTGAAGAAGAAGGTAGGGGAAGGGTGTGGCTGATTGACAGGAGACTAGCACTGAGGATGCCTGTCCGATTGATTCTAGGGAAGGGTTACAGGCTCGTTGGCCGAGAGGGTTATGGGCAACCCTTGTCCCAGTGGTCTAGTGGTTGGGATTCTGACACAGAATCTACACTCCTGTTTTAGCTTCAAGAAGCACTTGGGAAGCAAATTACACGAGTGGTGCCGTACATGATTCGTTTGCAAAAGCCGGTACAAGTAGCCACCTAGAGGGAGCTTTCCACTCTGGGACCAACAAATTTAACCATGTACCGTTCTTATTTGAGCCGTTCTTATAACCGTAGTACCTTGGTTTTCCCACTTCACCCGATGCATGGACTACCATCCTCACACTAATTGCACTAACCTGCGGCACAACTCCACGCCTAACTTCCTCATTTGCAACGAGGCACTCATTTTCAGGCAGGCACTTGGCTTGGCTTCTCACATCTCACGAGGGATCATTTCGAGGCAGCTTAAACATTAAACCAGGTCCCTGTCTTTACATTACACGTCGGTCACAAATCTACCACTATCTTCTGATTCCACCAGCCAAGTAAGCTTCGAATCTAGCGCATTCTGGCTGAAACCCCCAGACAGCCCATACCCATCCTCCAGACTCTGCTGCTCCCCAGTCCCTACACCACCCGCAGCACCAGCTGTCTCACCATCCCCGCTCGTCCCCGTGTTGGCCGGCAGGGCAGGGCGTGGGAGGGCGGAGAGGGAGCGCTTGAGAGCCTTGATGGAGCGGAGCAGGTCGGTGACAGTGGGGCGGGAGAGGGGGTCTGAGGCGGTGCAGGAGAGGGCGAGGCGCACCATGGGCAGCACGATGGCGTCGGGTGCCCACGGCAGGTGGGCGGCGCGAAGCTGGTCTGTCATGTTGTGCGTTACCAGGTGCTGTGCCTGCATGCACAGGGATGGGTTTTTTGCATGTGTTCGGAATAGGCGGAATGAAAGAGAATAGAAAAGGCATGAAAGGTTGTTCTGGTGTGCTGAGGCGCTGCGTGGAGTCGAGTGGGAGACACGCACTGGCACAAGTACTCCTGTGCCGAGTCCATGTGCATGCTTGCATGGAGCTACCTTCCTGCAGCACCTCTGCATTGCAAAGAAGAACAACACGGGGATTCCACACTGCAGTGCATTCCACACTGCAGTGCATTCCACACTGCAGTGCATTCCACACTGCAGTGCATTCCACACTGCACTCACCCAGTCACGAATGTGCACTGAGCCGTTGCCGCTCAAGCTGATGCTCATGCTGCTGCCGCTGCTGCTGCTGCTGTAGCTGTTTGTGCTGATGCTGCTGATGCTGTTGCTGCTACTACCGCCAGAAGTGCCAGAGCTGCTGCCTTGCCGATCGTTGCTGGCTTCTTTTGGTATCAAGGCTGGGCGACCAGTGATGAGCTGCAGCATCACCACGCCAATGCTGGCAGGTGGGGATGGGGGGACAGTGGAGAAGCGGGAGGAGAGGAGGGAGAGGCGTCCGGCTGGTGAATTTATTGAGTTGGTTGTTAGTGATGGCGGATGCACATGCAGTCCGCAGCATAACGCATGGTTCCTGCCTTTGAGTCGGCTCAATCAAACAGATCAGCAGAGAATGAGGTCTAGGAGAGAGAGAAGGTGGTGGGTAGAGGGGACGGAGAGAGCGGACAGGGGTCTAGCTGAGCATCACTGCTGTTGAGACGTCTCAAGGGTTGAAGCAGCACGGACGGACCTGAAGACATCGGTGGAGGGCGTGGTGCGAGCAGAGGCATGCAGGATTGGGTCCATGTATGCATGGTTGGCAGGTGGCTGTATGACCTTCCCTGCTGCTGGTGCTGGTGCTGGTGTTGGTGCTGGTGATGGTGATGGTGATGGTATTGATGCTGATGCTGCTGGTACTGCTGCTGGTGGCGGTGGTGCTGTGGGGATGTGCGGGAGGGGGTTACCCATTTTCACAGCCATGCAACCAGCCAAGACAGGCTGAAGGGAAGGCATGGGAATGGCGCAGTGGGGATGCGAGGGGAAAAACGCGGCGTGATTTCAAGGGTTATGGAAGAAACGCAACTGGTGGTCGATTGGATGAGGAAAACGGAGCCGGGAATATAAAAAAGTGGTGAGTGTGCATGGCAGAACAGCTGTGTAACGCTGCAACTACATGCTACTTCATCTCCATCTCACTGCACCTACACGTCATTTCACGAGCACGGCAATAGGCTCGGCACACTATCATTTCATTTCGCGCGGGAATTGGTTTGGCAGGGATTGCACAGCAATTGGGACTGCACACTATCTGCAGGGCAGAATTGCACTTCATTTGTACAGCGATTGGGACTTAACCAGCTGCAGGGGAATTCACCTGCAGGGCGGTGTCCAGCAGGATGTTGCGTGGGTGTATGCGGCCATGCACGACCCCATGGCTCTGGATGTGCTTCAGCCCCCGCAGCACACCGCCTGTCACATCCAGACACTGCCACGCGGACAGGGGCGCGCAGCCCTCTGCATGGCGGATTGGGAAGGAAGGAAGTGGTGTTCGGGAGGAGGATGGGGGCAGAGGGGAGTAGAGAGAGAGAGAGGGGGAGATAGAGGGGAGGAAGGGAAGGATAGAAGACAGAGGGGAACAGAGGGGAGAATAAGGAGATGGTAGAGAACAGAGATGTCTACATTGTTTGTTAAGATGTGGTGTGGTGTGATGCTCTTGCAAGAGGTTTGTGAGAGTTTCCACAAAAGCCGTTTGGTAGGAATTGATATGTACCGACCAGGGGAAATTATGAAAACAAAGAGGGCGGTGGGGGAATGAGTGGGCTGGTGTGGTGGATTAGACAAGCACTGGCAGAGGGTTAGGTGGAAAGAGATGCAGAGAGGCCAATGCATGGGGAAGGGAACAGGGTGGGAGAGGGACCATGAGTGAACGTACCTGCAACGAGGCGGCTGTGCAGATTGCCTCCTGGCACCCACTCAAACACTAGCACCTGCTCCTCTGCTTGCTCCACCGCATGATCGGCAACACTGGAAGTCTCTGCACTAGTACTCTTAGCACCATCAGCACTGGCATTAACTGGATCCTTAGCACCACCACCACTAACACGAGCAGCAACAGCAGGAGCAGCAGGTGAATCAGTGTCATGCTTCTCCCAGCAATGCCCCAGCAGTCGCTGAACATTGGTATGGCGAATAGACCAAAGCTTGGCCACCTGGGCAGGAAAAAAAAAAGAGTTTTAAGGACAGGAGGATGCAAGGGCAAAATGCATGGGGCACAACATGGTACTAGCTAGCGTTGGCATGAAACTGGCTGCTGCGGCAGCAGCAGCAGCTTCAGCAGCAGCAGTGGAGATCCATCCACAGCTCCCTTACCTCTTTCTGAAAATTGGCGGAAAGCTCGTCGTTGCCGCGCCTCACAACGAACCACACCTGACGCTCATTGAGAGGATTCACTGCCTTGTACCTCTGCCCCCCACTGCTGCTGCTGCTGCTCCACCCCTGCTCCTCCACCCTGTTAACCTCACTCCACCCACCCGTTGCTTGTGCCACGAGAGACACGGGGAACCTTGGACCGCGGGAGCGACTGCTGAAGACGCGAGATGCTGACGTGGAGGGAGAAAAGGAGGAGAGAGGGGAGTGGGGAGGCAGGAAACAGATTGGAGAAGTTGATGGCGATATATATGGCGAGGCGTGGGTGAGAGGTGGGTGAGGCTGGTGAGGAGGCAACCGTGAGAAAGATGATGGTGGCTAGTTGTAGCCGTGGCTGCAAGGGCAGCAGTGTGTGGGCCGACTGATAACCGCGACAACAGGCATCGAGTGATGAAGTATGATGGCTTTCTTAGTCGCAAAGGAGCCAGCGGCAGCAGCAACAGCAGCAGCAGCAGCGGCAGCAGCAACAGCAGCAGCAGCAGCACTGGCAGCACTGAGCCACCAAAAGTTTTGAGACGTCTCAAAAGTGGCCCGTGCTTGGAAGACTGAGCCACCACAAGTGGCACATACCCCTGACTGCCAACCAACCACGGCACGCACGTAACTCTGAACACAACACTGAACTTGCCCTTACCTGTGGCAGATAGAGGCTGTAGCTTCGATCCCTGGGATCCCCATCTCACATACGCAACAGCAGCAGCAGCCACAAGCAGGCACAGCGCTCCCACGGATATCCCCACGATTGCAGAGGTTGATAAGCCGGTGGAGGGTGGAGGAGCAGGAGGAGGGGCGAGGGGAGAGGAGACGGCGAGAAGGGAGGACAGAGGAGGGGGTGGGGGGCTCAGGAGAGCAAGGCTGGGAGGGAGAGGAGGTGAGAGGGGAGGAGGGGGAGGGGGGGGGGGTGGCGACGTTGACCTGTAGGGAGAGAGGGAGGGAAGTGGGGCGTGAAGGGACTGTGAAGGGGGAGAGTAGCAGTTGTTCTGGCGAGGTGTGGCGAGGTGTGACTGGCAGATGGCACAATGACTACGGGAGGGCATGATGACGATCAAAAAGCACAGGAAGGATGGCAGAGGTGCCTTTTGATTTGAACAGCGTGTCACATATGTGAGCAGCAAGATTCAAAATTACTTTCACACCGTTGATAGGGATGCAGGAGGCACAGAAGTCGAAGCAGAGAGCCCGGCAGAAGAAGGAGGAGGCGTTCTGCTGGATCTCACAGCTGCTACCAGCCCTGCCGCACGTCTCCCCTGGAGAGGTGATTCTGAACAGAGGCAGCATGGCAGGGAAGATGGCAGGGAAGATGGCAGGGAAGATGGTAGGGAAGATGGTAGGGAAGATGGGCAAGTTGCAGAGTGCTGTTGAGGAAAGAGCAAAGAGCAAGGCGAGTGACATGAAATATATGTGCAAGCAATGGTGCTTTTCTATCTACTTGTTTACTCATAATGTTTCTATCATACGTTTGATGCACCTCATTTTTGAGGCAGACATGTGTGTGTCTGTGTGGTTTTGTTCAGCTCATTGTGGTTGGTGTAGTGCTTGCGCACGCATGAGACTGGGGGATGAGATTGGGACACAGAGGGGGATTATGGGATCGCGTCAGGAGAAAGGGATTGAACGTTGACCAAGAGTCAACGTTCAATCACGAAAACACACACACTCAAACATACTCTCGCACTCATGCATGCATGCACACACCACACACACAGACACACACAGAACAAAGACACACCCCCCCCCCACACAGAACAGAAACCTACCCAGGCGCAGGCGCACACACAAATCTACCCAACGAATGTGGTGTGGGATGAAGGGCAGGGTGGGATGGAATGCAGGGACCAACACTTGAGTGAGTTTGGAGAGAGCACCAAGGGAGGCTGGCAGCGAGCCACCCACGTTGGTGTTGGCGATGCTCCTGATACAGGGTGGTCGCAGCGCGAGGGACAGAGGGAACAGGACAGGATAGGCAGATGGGAGGGGTTAGTGGACTGCGGATAGGACAGGCAGGTACTCTGGTGATGATCATTATAATAGTTATACCACATGCTTATACCACTAAGTACGTGCTCCTGAAAGCTTAAAGCTCCGGTATACATTTGACAGAAGGGGTTCAAGTTCCTTAGGAACTTGAAAAGTTGCCCCAGAACTGGGAGGCTCAGTTATAAACCCTAAACCCCCACTGACAAATGTATACTGCCGCTTTAAGAAGTTTATTGATTAAGGAGAGACACGGCTATTATGAAACAAAGAGGATGGGCTTGAGCAGCAGTGAATTCTGTTGTACCGGTAAGTTCATGTGCATGTGGTTGCGTGCCTGTGTGTGCGCGCGCCCGTGTGTGTGCGCGTCTGTGTATGTGCGCGCCTGTGTGTGTGCGCGCCTGTGTGTGTGCGTGCGCGCACCCGCATGCCACGCCCCTTGCATGCTCACAAACCGTGCACCACATACAAGTACTCGAGATTGACAAGCCGGCCGATTGTGTTGGGGATTGCGCCACTGAGGCGAGTGTTGGACACTCGGCTGATGCGTGCACATTGCCAGGTGGACGCATGGTAGTAGCATGCAGAGTATGCAGAGCAGCAGAGTGAAATGGAAGTGGCAGACAAAAGGGTGTGCGATTGATGATGGGATGGTGTGACGATCAGCTCAAGAGCAGAGGAGGAGGAGGGGGTGGAGGAGGAAGAGTAGGAGGAGGAGGAGGAGGAGGAGGACGACGACGACGACGACGACGACGACGACGACGACGACGACGACGACGACGACGACGACGACGACGACGATGATGATGATGCAAGAAAGAACGTTGCCTTCTATAACAACCAGTCACTTCAAGTTCGTTTTGTTGCATGAGAGGCGTCACAATGGCAGCATGGCAGCATGGCAAATGTGCGTCACATATTGGGTCAGTTATCCAATAAGGTTCAGCCAGATCGAAAGATGAGTCCGCGCAGGAGAACCCAAAGGCAGGGATGAGTGAGTCCAATAGAACACCATGTAGGTGCCATGGTTTCAATACGTGGCAGCAACTTCTTAGGGATTGACACCTAGAAAGTAGTTTGTGTTGTGCTTATGACGAAACAGTAACGGTCGGAATGGGAGAGAGGGAGGGCACTGACAAGATGGTGAGACGGGAGAGGGCGGAGATGGTGGAGGGGATGGTTCCTGAAATGCTGGTGTCAGCTATCATCCTGACAAAGGGTCGTGAGGGGTGTGGAGTGTGGAGAGAGGAGGGATGGAGGAATGGAAGAGAGACAAAAGAAGCAGATGGGTATGCGGGAGAATGGATGTGCTATGAAGTGAATGCAAAAGATAGTGGTGGCTGGCAGATCATTAACACTTGAAATTCATCGCATGCCATCACCCATACACAGCAGCACTCACGCACAGCAGCACTCATGCACAGCAGCACTCACGCACAGCAGCACTCATGCACAGCAGCACTCATGCACAGCAGCACTCATGCACAGCAGCACTCATGCACAGCAGCACTCATGCACAGCAGCACTCATGCACAGCAGCACTCATGGACAGCAGCACTCATGCACAGCAGCACTCATGCACAGCAGCACGCATGCACAGCAGCACTCATGCACAGCAGCACTCATGCACAGCAGCACTCATGCACAGCAGCACTCATGCACAGCAGCACTCATGGACAGCAGCACTCATGCACAGCAGCACTCATGCACAGCAGCACTCATGCACAGCAGCACTCATGCACAGCAGCACTCATGGACAGCAGCACTCATGCACAGCAGCACTCATGCACAGCAGCACTCATGCACAGCAGCACTCATGCACAGCAGCACTCATGCACAGCAGCACTCATGCACAGCAGCACTCATGCACAGCAGCACTCATGCACAGCAGCACTCATGGACAGCAGCACTCATGCACAGCAGCACTCATGCACAGCAGCACTCATGCACAGCAGCACTCATGCACAGCAGCACTCATGCACAGCAGCACTCATGCACAGCAGCACTCATGGACAGCAGCACTCATGCACAGCAGCACTCATGCACAGCAGCACTCATGCACAGCAGCACTCATGCACAGCAGAAAATGAGTGTTCCGGTACAGTGGATCAGAAAAGCACCGGTAGAGGCTGAAGCGCAATTAGAAAGCTAAGACACAGAGTCATGGAGGGAGGGATAGGCATGGAGAGAGTAAGGTGGGGGAGGAGAGCCAAGAGTGAACGTGCCAAGAGCAAGTATAGAGTATAGACGCACCTGCAACGAGGCGGCTGTGCAGATTGCCTCCTGACACCCACTCAAACACTAGCACCTGCTCCTCTGCTTGCTCCACCGCATGAACGGCAGCAAATTTGGAACTAGCACTATCATCATTCGGACTTGTAGCACTGTGAGCACCAGAATCAATAGAGTTACCAGCACCAGCACCAGCACCAGCACCAGCAGCAGGTGCGTCACAGTCAAGGGCAGTGCCACGTATCTCCCAGCAATACCCCAGCAGTCGCTGCAGGTTGGTATGGCGGATGGACCAAAGCGTGGCCACCTGGGCAGGGAAGTACGCACCCACAAGGAGAGTTGTAAGGGGCATTAAAACAGCCTCCGTCTCCACTGCAGCAGCAGCAGCAGCAGCAGCAGCAGCAGCAGCAGCAGCAGCAGCAGCAGCAGCAGCAGCAGCAGCAGCAGCAGCAGCAGCAATGGGGCAATATCCACAACCCTCTCACCTCTTTTTGGAAGTCTTTGGAAAGCTCGTCGTTGCCGCGCCTCACAACGAACCACACCTGACGCTCATTGAGAGGATTCACTGCCTTGTACCTCTGCCCCCCACTGCTGCTGCTGCTGCTGCTGCTCCACCCCTGCTCCTCCACCCTGTTAACCTCACTCCACCCACCCGTTGCTTGTGCCACGAGAGACACGGGGAACTTTGGACAGCGGGAGCGACTGAAAGCAGGGGATGCTGACGTGGAGGATGGTCAGGGGCAAAGAGGAGAGAGGGGAGAGGGGAGGGGAGGGTGAGGGGAGGAGGGAAAGCAATTGGGGAGCTTGATAATGAGATGATGCCACGGCTGAGCCTCCACAAGGGGGACATACCCCATAGTGCCAGCTATGTCACAAAACTCCAAGTAATTACTGGCACACCAGTGATGGCACACCAGTGAACTTGCGCTTACCTGAGGCAGTTGGGAGGGGATGTAGTTTCGACCCTTGCGCTTTTCGATTGACATACGCAGCAGCCACGACAGAAGCAGCAGCCACAAGCAGGCACAGCGCTCCCACGGATATCCCTACGATTGCAGAGGTTGGCAAACCGGTGGAGGGTGGTGGAGCAGGAGGAGGGGCGAGCGGAGAGGAGACGGCAAGAAGAGAGGACAGAGGAGGGGGTGGGGGGCTGAGGAGAGCGAGGCTGGGAGGGAGAGGAGGTGAGAGGGGAGGAGGAGGGGGAGGGTGGCGGCGTTGGCCTGTTGGGGGAGAGGTGTAAAGGGAAGTGGGGTGCGGAGGGATTGGGGAAGGGGAGCAGCTTTTGAGCTGGGGGTGATGACATGATGACCGTCAGATGGCATGATGACAGTCAGATGGCATGATGACCGTCAGATGGCATGATGACCGTCAGATGGCATGATGACCGTCAAATGGCATGATGACCGTCAGATGGCATGATGACCGTCAGATGGCATGATGACCGTCAGATGGCATGATGACCTTCAGATGGCATGATGACCGTACGATGGCATGATGACCGTCAGATGGCATGATAACAGTAAGACATCACTTGCACCAAGGCACATAAGGTGGTATTCTATTTGAACTATGAGTCGTGTATGTCAGCAGAAATGTGGGAAAAGTGAAAACTTCACCGTTGAGTGGGATGCAGGAGGCACAGAAGTCAGAGCAGAGAGCCCGGCAGAAGAAGGAGGAGGCGTTCTGCTGAATCTCACAGCTGCTGCCAGCCCTGCCGCATGTTAATCCTGGAGAGGTGAATCTGGAGAGGCCAAGATGGTGGGGGAAGAAGGGGAGGGGGAGTTGGGGGAGAGGAGGTGAGGGGTGTTGCAGCAACGAAAAAGAGCACGGTGAGTACTGAACATTATGTGCGGGCAGTGGTGCTGCCTCGTATTTGTTTGTTAAAAAAATAGTGCGAAACAGATGATTCTGAGTCAAGTCGTCGTTTTATTATTATTATTATTATTATTATTATTATTATTATTATTATTATTATTATTATTATTATTATTATTATTATTATTATTATTATTATTATTATTATTATTATTATTATTATTATTATTATTATTATTATTATTATTATTATTATCATCCTCCGGGTTGATGGTTGCAGCGACGTGGGCCCACTGTATGTTTTCATGAGAGTCAGGTTTGTGGCCTGCGGTTCTTTCTAGTCAGCTAAATATGGTAAAGAGAGGAGCAGATCTAGCATTTTTGCAAGCTTTTGAGAATTTTGTGCAAGCAGGAACCTTAACGCACCAATGACTATGAAGTCGGCCTTTTAACAGCAATAAGCAGCAGTCTTTTAAAAACAGGGAAAGGTTACCCACAAGAGGAGAAATTACCAAGGAATGAAAGAAAGTGTGATACAGAGTGCAGGGTGAGATGGAGAACGGGGGACCAACATTTGAGCGAGCTTGGGGAGAGCACCAAGGGAGGCTGGCAGCGAGCCAGACACGTTGGTGTTGGCGATGGTCCTGAGATAGGGCGGTTGTGGGGTGAGCGACAGGAGGTGGCACAAGTAAGGAAAAGTATGTGGCGTTGTTTTTTTTTTTTTTTTTTTTTTAGAGTTTACTGCTTGTGGAGGGAAAAGGTAATTCTGAAGGAAATATGATGGGTGGGTGTGTGCGTGTGAGAGTGTGCATGCGTGGGTTGGTGCATGAGTGCATACATGTGTGTGCCACACCCCCGCATGCTCACAAACCCAGCACCACATAAAAGTACTCGAGATTGGCAAGCCGGCCAATTGTGCTGGGGATTGTGCCACTGAGGCGATTGTTGGACGCTTCACTGGTATGCAGGGCATTGCCAAGTAAACGGAGACTAGTATTCAGTCACAGAGGAATGGCAGGGGCATACATCAAACAAGGCATGCGAGTGGTGGGTTGGAGAGAGAGGAGAGAGGGAGGGCACTGACAGGAAGGTGAGAGAGGAGAGTCCGGAGATGGTGGAGGGGATGGATCCTGAAATGCCGGTGTTGGCTATCATCCTGTTGAACCACCACGAGCAAAGAGAGAGGAGGGGATGGAGGAATGGAAGAGACACAAAAAGAAACGGAAAGGAGATGGTCGGCGAGGGAGAAAATGGGGTGGGGAGAGAGAGTGTATGGGGAGGGGAGTGCTATGTGAGGATGGCCAGGGTAGAATGCATGTGCTATGGAGTGAATGGGAAAGGCACAGGAAAGCAGTGATGCTCGTGCTGTTGACCGCCATATACGCATGGCAGCACCCAACCCATGCACAGCTTACAAAGCTTCGAGCTTGTTGAGTGCTGAGATGGTGGAGGGAATGGGCCCTGAAATCCTAGTTGAAACAAGGTTCCTGCCATGTGACACGTGGCATGTGCCATGTGGCATGTGGCATATAGCATGTGACGTATTGCATGGTTGAGAGAAGATGTGTATGCAGCACGCGTAACGTGTGGAATGTGCCAGTGCCATATGGCATGTGGTACATGGCTCGAGACATGTATGAATGCGTTCTCCAGGAGGACACTGCTGTGGCTGCTTTTATAAATGGGACAAGGAGAGGGGGGTGGGGGCATACGAAAGCATGAAAAACGGGCAGAAAAATATCCGAAGCGTTACCATAAAGGCTCTGTAGAACCTTGCCTACAGATTCGTATCTGAAAAGATCCTGAAGGGAGGGCGAGGTGCTCACATGTGCATAAGTAGCGAGAGCCGTGAGATGGAAGAGGGGATGGGCCCGTAAAATCTGCTCACGGAGAGGTCACTACAGGCAAGGCAGTGGGCAGGCAGGGGCAAGAGGGCAGAGGGTGGAGAGCAGAGAAAACGAGGTTGTGTCAGACATCCAGCTGTCGCGAATGTGATAAGCTGTGAGTGGAGTAGAGAATCTAAGAACTAGAGTGAGAAAGCTACAAGCCTTTGGCTTTCCACCATTATCCTCTCTGCCTGCACTGCACTGCAATTTCTCTGTTTAAGTCCCTCCACTCTATCGCTATCTATATTGCATTGCTCGCTGGGAGCAGCACATCTCTTGCTAGACAACGTGCAGCGAATGAAGGGGAACGTGCAGCACAGCGCTCACTCCACGGGAGAGGGTACAGCAATGGACGAAACGCGTAAGAGCAAAGGTGTGTGAAGGAAGCAGAGATGGGGCGAAGAAGAGGGAGAATAGGAAGATGAGGGCGAGGGGGGGGGCACAGGGGAGGGGGAGGAGGGATCACAGGTAGGTGAGAAGGCTGATGTGCGGCAGGAATGAAAGAGGTCCAGTCAAGTTGTTGTAACTCAGGGTGCTGCCATTGAGAGAGCGAAGTCAAGGCCGGGAGGGAGAAGAGAGGGAGGAGGGAAGACAATGTGAGACACGAAGAAAGGATATGTCTTGTGAAAAAGAGGGGGAGAGCACAGGCAGATTGGAAGGCAAAAAAACCTTTTGAATGTGTGTCATATGGTGAAATGATGTGGGTTTGTGCTTGCGAATGGAAGGGGCGGAATGCGGGTGTGCATGAGATCACCTGCATGCATACGAGTTGAGGCACCTCACATCCTTACTAGACCTGAGCATAATTCAGGTTGAATCAGAGCCCTTCATTTGGCCCTTTGTTTCGAGACGAACCAGTTCGAGTGCACAAGCATGCATACGCACACTACAGCAAAATTCATAACGATGGCGAAATCGAAGCGCGTGGACTATTCTAGAGAGAAGCGGTGGAAATCGACCTACAGAACGTGAAGCGGGAGTGAAACGAGGAAGAAATGCAAAGAATGGAGAAGTATCGAGGAAGAAGAGTGGCAAAGTATCGCAAATGGGATTTACGAGGGAAAATGTGGTTCGAGAAAGTGCTCGATTCGGAGTTGAGGAGAGTTCAGTGAATCCGGTTCAGTTGCGTGTGCGACTCGGGGTGCGACTCGGGGTGCGACTCGGGGTGCGACTCGGGGTGCAACTCGGGTTGTGAGATTGTGGAGAACACCATAAGCATTAACAAGTAGACTATTGCCGATCAAGGTCATCTCAGGCTGGTGACTAGCAGCTCAAAATGCTGACGAGAGCAGACCGCTCAGAATGCACAACACTGGAATCAACCAAATGAACAGAAAGCAAACAAGGTGTGATACGCCCTTACAGTTCGGCCAGTCGAGTGAGGCGAGAAAAGGCAGTGGGCAAGGGCCCGTGCACGTTTGAAGCGTCCAGTTTGCTGCTTGTGATGAAACCACCACGGTCATTCTCACCAGGCATGCACGCACACCATCGTTACACCAAGACAGAATACAGCACAGCAAAGCCCCAGCATGGCCCGGCACGGCAGCGTGCAACCCACATCCAGCGCCATGCGATACCAATCAATAGGGCAGAGAAAGGTAGGGAA